TTTTCAGTGGTGAAAAGAGACTGAAGCAGGTTATTTGGGTTAGAGCAAAAAGCCATTTCTGCACCAACATTTGATCCAGTTCAAGGGACAGCTTAGCAGATAAAGATAACCTGGGTTTTGGCACATCTGGGGTGCATTTTATGGGGCAGGGCATTCCTTTGTTCATTCTTCACTTAATAAACTTTTCCTCACTTTTGCTCTTCCAGTCCTTCCTCTATGCCTCTGTGGGGAGTGGGTGAGTGACAGGGTGGGGGTTATCTGCCAGCCAGGGACAAACCATCACAGCCTCAATGGTTGTTGGCCCTGGATGTGCACTTAGAGAGCATTGCTATGTACCTGTTCTACTCTTCTGGTCTGCTACACCTGCTACCTCTTTAACTGGTTTATTTATTATCAGAGACAGAATACAAGGCTATGAACAACTAGTCTTGTCCAGTACAGCCATTTCATATTCTTACATTACTAAAACTTACTCCAGTAACCACTGCTCCAGTGCAGCATTGCTTGATTTCTGCTGTTATTTCACAGTTCTTTCTCATGTGCTGGTAACTGTTTTTCAATAGCAGCTGGAGTCAGGCCAGATCCTGATTCCTGGATCAACTGAGATCAGCTTTTCTTTATATAGAAAAACATGTCTTCCTTACGAATGCCTTACAAGCCATTCAAAGCCAAATTCAGAGGAGTTTTAACAAATGTTTGGGAAGTTTTAAATGCAGTGCTAGGAACTTGAGAGAAATCAGATTGTTCCTCATTTCAATGGAGTTTTACCAACAAAACTTACCTGCACTTAAACTGTATTCAGCAAGGAGTCATGTCATTACGGCAAAAAATATTCAACCCCTTCAGTGTAACTCTGGTTTCCAATTAGTTTTATAGCTGTGGTCATGTACATGTTCATCTGCTTCTCCTCATTCAGAAAATTCATTCTCCATATAGTTCCACATAGCTTTTGAACCGTCAAATACCTGCTAACCTATGCATGGTCCTTCTGTAGCTTTAGATCCTCATCATGGCTGACACAGAGGTGCTCTCCTTCGATGACAGGCAGCAAGGTGCCAATCTGAATAAAAACTTTTGACTTCAAACCTCTTTTGACGTATTCTGACTCCAGTTTCCCAGCTGGCATAAAAAGCAGTAAACGAATCTTGTTAGTTGCTAAACTGGCTGTAATTTCCACTCCCACAGCCTAAGGTTCTGTTTAAAGATATTACCCAAAGTCCCTTGCCCTAGCAGTAACATCTGCCCTGGAAATCATGGACAGGAGAGAGGAGAATAGATAAATGACTCCTCTTCCCATTGTGGATGTAAGCCTGAAGAGACATAACTCACTGAGACCATGGTCAAGCTTGGTACTTCAGCCTGGGTGGGAATGAAGGGACATTATATGACATTCCCCCACTATCCCTCTCTTTCCAGAAACCCACTGAAATCTGAAGGTCTTCCAGGGCCATTCTTAAGGAAAATCCAGGATTGTGGGAAGACATGAGGCTGTCTCAAGGAAGACCAGCAGCTGTCAGTCTGTACTGATAAGGTTCTGTAGGAGACATCCATCAACCTGAAGTACTAGTTTAATGAAGATACTGGATATAAGGATAATGCTTTTCTGAAGGCAGCCTTAAGTGGTCATACTCAGCCTCAAAACAACCTTACCCTAACAGCAATATTTAGGCTGAGGTGACCAGGCACTGATCACTGATAGAAGAAAGAAATAACTTTGAAGTTATTTCTGGATACCTGACTCAGTCTTGTAGCTAGTGCAAGATCTTCTCCACCTGTGCCTGTACTTCCCTAGTGGGTTCAAAGCAGGCAGAGAGTATGCGGCCCTGAGACCTACACTGCATCCAAGAGGGCAAGTTTATTTGTGTTGCTTGGATCTAGATTCGCACACACAAAGGTAGACTGAGATTTATGGTCTCTCACTGGTAAGTCTGAATTTCAGTACCCTTTTAGAAAAAACAAGTTTAAACTATAGTTGAATCTATGATTCATTCGAAAGAAAAGATGAGTAAGTCCAGTAGTTAGAGGTGGAAACAACTATAGATTAAAAACCCCACCAGTATCCTAGTATTTGGAATACATAAACCACTGAAAGCTGAGCATCTGTATGAGAATTTAGAGAAGGATGTTTGTTGCTCCTATAATTGAAGAAGGCCCTAAATATTTCAGAGAAAGCAGCCAGAAGAAGAGGATATTTGTTCTGTAGAAGACATACTTGGGGAACTATCAAAGTAGTCTGGGGGTGGAGCAGGAAAACCAGGAGACTAGCCACAGGCCTTGAAGGTCATATGGTGACCCCCCAACTTTCCTACTTCTCCCTCAAGAGGAGTAATTGGGGAAGACAAAATTGGAGCCAGAAGGTAGAACACTGAAGTGAATCTTTTAAACCTCCTCATCCTCTAGCCTTTTGTCCTTACCTGAATTTAGCAAGACAGCTTGAAAAGCAGTGAGGCTGCCTAGCAGCCTGGCTGACAAACAGCTTCTTACACAAAGTGCTGGTTGCTCCTTAGTTGACAGTTTGAGGCACACTACCCTGCACAACAGGACTAAGGAAACTTTGAAATGTAGGCAGTTATCACTCTTCTTCTCTGTGGAAGATGCATGCCAGAGGTTTTTTTTTGGATAAGGCCAAGATAGTGACCTGGCACAAGTGACCTGCTTCATCCCCTCCTAGCATGCAAGAAATAGAAGCTGTAGGTAGTTGAAAGTGGATGGGAGGAAAAAGACACTTGGTTCCTAACAGGCTTTTGAACGCCTCATGCCACAAAAGCTGAGACAACCACACATCTATGGTAGTGACAATATAGAGGCTTTCACAACAGCAAGAAGATGGCGAGAAGATGTTAGGAACAAATGCATCTCTCAAGTGATAGCAGCAACCAGTAAGAATTTGCAAAAATATTCTCATATCCAAGAATAAATGCCTTTAAAAAGACATCCACTAGTTTTTTAAGAATAAGTGAAGAGTGGCAAAATGGTTTTGCCTCCAATTATAAAATGCTAGTGACTTGGATCTCACAATTTATGGACCACCTGCTTCTGCTTTCACTGATCAAATTCTTCATTAATGTAAAGCTGCAGCTAGACTACCTAAATCTAGTCTACTGGATTTACTCAATGATTTTGAGAAATGAAGTCTGAGTGTCTGCATGAATTGAGCTGGAAGGCCCTTCTTCCTGTTTAAAGAAAATAACATTTAGAGCTTTAAATGCTATGTCAATTTAAACGTTATAATGTTTCACAATCATGTATTTAAACACAGAAATCTGTTTATTTACCCAAACAAAACAGAGGAAATGATTCCAGCCCTCAGGTTTTGAATTCTCATTTAAATATGTGAACATCAGTCCACAACTTAGAGATGTTTGTGTATCTATGTACCTCCAAAATACTCATATTTCATAGGCTTTTTCACATTAATATTCACCAACAGTATCACAAAAGTTCTTTTTCTTTTACATAACTGTAAGCAACAGTAATTCTAGAAACACTAGAGAAAAAAAAGCATAGCAATGTCCACAGTTACAAGAAAAAGTGCACATTACTTGGTCACAATCACAGTCATTACTTGGAAAACTATATGTAACAAGTAGATATAAAATATCACTGATGCCTTAAACTCATTGTCAAAAACGGAATTACATAAAATTTTGTACATGAAATAAGGCAAATTTAGGAATGCACAAGAAACTCGTTATTCAACAAAAGCTAAACAACAGAACAGATAGTACAGTAAGCATAAACTAAAGTACTTTTTTCTATATACTTAAAAATAAGCCTGTCGTAGTGCACAAAGAAAACACCATTAATGTGTAATCAATATTATAAAATAAGAAATAGAGGGGTTGGGAAGAGTGGGGAAGGGGAGAGAAGAGTTTTATTATAGTTGCAGCTGCATCCATTTACAGTTTTGTACATGTTTTAGCTAGGCCTGGGAATTATACAAATCATACCAGAAGTGTCAATGAACTTCCTTGGTAAGAATTTTGTTTAAATTAAGGAAAAGAAAATAAATACACACAAGAGTGCAAATTTTCAGATTGTCACTTGCAACCTCTTAACATTCATCATCTACATCCAATCACAACTAGAGGGACTTGTATAGGACAGCAGCAGTGATCATGGAGTTAGATGAGCTCACCATAAGAAATCAATTTATCTTTTTTATTTCTCAATGATATGTCTTTTTTTTAAAAAACCCTCAACTCTTTATTAATTGCTAATAAAGCTGCAATATATTACAGAATGGAGTTGAGAATGGTATGAATGCAGGGAATGCATGCTTCCTTTGGAAGGTATTCCATAGATGACAATTTACAGTACACGGGGGAAGAATTATCCAGCATCAAGAGTTACTTGTTGTAGAAAGAATATGAAGTTGGGGAGAAGGGCACAGTCAGGGGTTCAAGAGAGGAAGGGGGGACTTAAAATAGCTCCTCAAAACATTTTCAGGACCAGTGAAAAAGTTTACCAAAGTAAAAATGAAAAATCTTGAATGAAAACAAAAATCTTTCGTTTTGTTTTTTATAAAAATTACATTTTTTTAAAATACAAGATCCTTTTAATTGCAATTGTGCCCTGTAGCAACAGGACATTTGGCAACGTTTTGCCATATACTGCAGCTTTAAGTCCAATGAGTCAGTATCACATTCCACTAATATTGCACTTGGATCTTGAACCATATTTTTTTAAGCCATCACAGCATCTTCTGTTTCCTCCACTTGTTAGAATGAGTTAATTTCTAGCCACTTTTTCGATATTTATGCTGACACACTAAAACAAAAGCAATAGGCTGGACACAGTAAAGTACCTCGGAAATACCAGAGGTCGAAGTTCACTTGAAGCACCTTAACACATCACTTTATGGATCAAGAACAGTGTGGCATTATGGTAATTAACTCTCCTAAAAGACTGTGCAGTAACTGAAGTGTGTGCTCTGGAAATCAAAATGTCATTAGTGGAAACTCTGAGATAAGACCAGGCCAGTGTGAAGGTCACATGACTCAGTTCTGCTGCAAAATAAGGTTTTCCAGTTCATCTGCAGAACGCAATAAAAATGCGGCTGATTCTCGATACCCTGCCACGAGCTGCCTCACTGCATTTATTTCAGTTGGACTCAGCTGGGGTCTAGAGCTTGAACTACTGGAGGATCCAGAGCTGGTTGCTAACTGCCTCTTCATACTGAGATCTGTTGGACCTGCAGATAACAAAGGAAAAGAAAAGTTGTTTCAGATTTGCTGCCAGAGACGTTTTGCAGGTTTGTAGCTATGAATGCAGAGTAGCAAAATCTGCTCTCTGCTGAGTGCCGGTGAGAAGGAGCAGAAACAAGCAAAAACTGCCTTGTTTCCTTGACAGGAATCACATCAATTTATATTTATACATGACAAAAACTCTTTAAATTTAATTTACATAACACGAGGGACAAGTCCACTGCCTGCTGAAAATTACCCTCTGGGGGGTATCCCAACAGTGTAAGCCACTTGCAGTCCAACACTGCCCTGGGATCTGACGTTGGTGAGCAGGCAGAAGGTTCACCTCCAGCTGCCATTGTAGCCTTCATGGCAAGCTGCACACTTGCAGCTTTTTATCACAGAATACCAAACTTATGTTCTCTCGATATCTATTCTCACATTTTGTGCTTCAATCAGCATGTAGCCAGATTGTGAATCCCTTAGAGATGCAGATAAATGGTCATTCACTTGACTGGCCCTGACGCCATGTGATTGCTTGTATAAATAGCTGGACATGAATGAGATTAGGCTGGTGACAATCTGGCTGCCTCAGTGAGGAGTACACTATCAACCTGCTGGGGTTGCATACAGCCAGCAATATGGTGCAAGGATCTTGTGAGGCCTGAACACTGACAAGAGAATCTGCAGCAATCATCATGTTGCATTGGCAGCTTATACCAATATGCTTAGAACATTTCATCAAAGAATATTCTCAAGAGCATGTATGCTGCAGTAGACAGCACTCCTGAGGGCAATCTGCAGGTTACTACGATTGGCAAAAACATCTGCCATCACAGAGCTTGGCTTTGTTTGGAATTTCCCTATTTGATCATATTTGACCATTATTAATCAGCCAGAGATGTATGGTGATTTGACGAGATGTTTGAGTTCTCCACTTAATGCAATACATTTTTTTTCTTCCTGGAGAGTACATTTGGACAAGTAAATTGGACTGAGGACTTTTTTAAACACAGAAGGATACAGATAGCAAGTGCGCGTATCAAGCAACTTACTATGTGCAAAGCATGAAAAATAGGACTCATTCATTTTGCCAGTGTAGCAAATCTATACTTCTGGCAGGCAGAAGATCAGACTAGCCTGATCTTCATCTTAATACTCTCCTGGAAATTGAGATCAAGTTATCCAAAGCAATGTATCTTGCTTTCCAATGAGGAAAATGTCACTGTTCAATTTCACCTGACAATGTATGTCAATGCCAAGGGTTTCTCACTGGATGGGCCTTGCTTCCTTAGGAATAAAATTATTCCTAAGACTGGAATAATTTTAAAATTTAGCATATTCAGCTGCAGAATATAGAACACACCAACTCATACTTTAGAGGTTCTCCTAAATAATCCCACCAGAATCACAAGATTCATAAACAGACTCACTATCTTAAGCACTAATGGAAAGAGACGTACTGATTTCCAGAAGCTAAAGATCTGGTCATAAACCTTTTTCTGTCTTTTATGTTTATGTAGAGATATGGCTCAGATGACAAAGAATGTGGAGGTTGCCATGTCCCCACACTCGCTAAGTTAATGAAAATCTCCTCTTGAGTGAATGAAAGCAGAGCTGGGACTATGAAAAGAAAATTCTCAAACAGACAGGGTCCTATTTCCTACTTATCTTCCTACAGATCTTATTTCCTGCTATGCAACTAGCATGAACAGCACTTAGCCTTACAACTGTATTATTCGGTTTTACACATCCATAAATGAACTGACTTTTAAATGACTTCCAGTGTACAAAGCATAAATAAAAGGACAATTAGTTCAGTGAATTTGTTTCACTGTGACCTCACGCTGCAGGGAAACAATCACAGTGTAAAGAAGCTCAGAGGATATTTCCAAGTAAAACCTTAACCAAGCACAGAGAAGAAGGGTATACAAATCATAAAGCCAGCTGGATTGAATTGTTGTAAGAAGCCATTAAAGACTTCTATATTTATTGAAGTGGTAGTGAAAAATCTACCACTGACATATTGAGGGCATTTTGCTCCATAAGAACCTACTTTAACTTTTATGTTCTTTCCTTGACTCTCATTCATGTCACAGCCAAAAACACACACACAATATATGGCAGAACAGAACTTCTGTAGCAAGAACATGTCTTTTTCTGAGAGAAAACCAAAGGGCTTTTCTCATTGGTAACCTGGATTTTTAAGTAACTGAATAAAGTTTGTATTATAATATTATTTCACTCATAAAAGGAAAATACATAGAAATGTGCTTGCTTACATCTCTGAGGTTTTCGTTACAAAAAATGATGACACAAAGTAAAAGCACCACTCTGAAAGGAAAACTAGAAGACCAGATGTCCAGCACACATAAATCAGTGTAACTCCTCACAAGTCCATAGGGTCACAGTGGTTTACCCCCTATACTTCACTTCCAAAGTTTGTCTATGACAACTCAAGCTTTGTATCTAGAAGAATTTCCTTACTCACAGACTAGCCCCTGGATGTATTATACTGGTCTCAGCTTTTAATTGCTGTGATAGACACTCACTGGCAGTGCTACTGATTCTTAAAGGTTGTCCAGGCTGCTATATGCTAAAAATGCTATCAGTTATCTGTAGCTTCATCCGTCATACCTGGTCATTCAGAAAATAAGGAATAAATACATCTTATTCTTAGAGTGTAGATTTTTCCTGTGTAATTTTATGCAAATCAGCTATTGAAATGTTGGAACCTAAATATTGCTCAAAAATATCTACCACATTTCTTTACCTAGACAAATAAATCCAGCTGATTCTGGATATTCTGAAGGCTTAAAATAGCTGCCTAAGGTAGACACTTCATGTACCTCTATCTCTAGAAGCCATCACTATGGATGACTAAATCTGGAGAAAGCTGAACAGCTTTGTCACCATTTCTTTTAATAAATATCCCTACTTTTAATAGAACTATTTCCTTAGTTTATTTTGCTTTATTTAGTAAGCTGCCAGTCTTCACAGGACCAAGGAAGTGTATCCTCATGCAGAGGGAAATCTAAGTATTTTTGCAATGAATTTTGCAGTGTTGGGTTCCTCCAAGGTGACACTGCACATTTTAGCATACAGCTTCCTATCCTGGAGTACTTCAGGACAATTAAAAATCATGACTGCAAACATTATTAGGTTCCACAGTGTCTGTGTGCAAGCAAAGATTAAGAATATATCATAGAGATGAAGACAAGATACTTATATTTATTTATTTCTCTTAGCGCATACTATTATAACTCACAATTGTTACCTCCCATGTTTTTAGAACAGCACAACATTCTCTTAAGCAGTGGTTCTAACAAGTTGCTGAGGCAGATCCTTTCTTTTATACTCTTTAAGAAGTCTTGTTCTCTGCCTCTCATGAAGGCCACCTGATTGACACTTTAACATGGCAATATTTTCAATTTACCACCTCAGTCCAGTTACATAGACCTAATTTCCCTTGTGAAATGAAATTGTTCTTTTTGGAACCACATCAAGCTGAATATGAGAACTCTGAAAACCTACTCTTAATGTGCTAGACAATCATTTATCAAATTAGCTGCTAGGAATATCTGCCATTAAATACACTGTGGGACAAATGGCTTTTCTGTAAATTGCGAGACTTAAATAGAACTAGTTATTTCCTCGTGCACTACATATTAGCAACATGATTTATATCAAATTCCAAAATATGGGTCAGATGTAGACATGCTGTTACTGATTGCTTAGACAGAATCAACTGTCTCAGCAAAAATCCCTTAAGAATTGTATGTTGTCTTTGGATAGCTATCAACCTTATAATTAACAGCTACTGAGAGAATAATAAATGTGGCAATGACTCTCAAAATGGTTATCACTATTGCAGATATTAATTTAGTATAACAAAATACTTTAAAAAAGTTATATGTGTTTAAGCAGCCATGCTTCTACATTTTCAGTAATAGTTAAGCAAGCTTTTTCATCAGTGAGGATGTAAAAAGCAGTGGCACTTATTTACAGAAAAATACATTTGTCCATGCCTTGAAATCTTTCTTGCCTATCTTTTCTATTACACCTCTCCCCTTTTTCCCCATGAATGGCTTTAAAAGTATGTACTAGAGTCTCACATGCTCCAATAAAAGTAAATAGAAACAGCTATCAAAGTATGCTACTTTTTCCAAATCAGATGTATTTATCATTGCAAGAATGTTTTATTGTGATGTTACACATCTGTCAATGTTGCTTTGCCTCCTGCCTTCAAAAACAGAGCAGATGTGAGTAACACTGTTGTTTGAAGTGCCAGGAGATCTCAGATCAAGAAAACAGGGACTAATGAATTGGATCTTTTAAGTTTCCTTCTCCCTTCTACACCTTTCCCTCTGGAAAATATACCTTCAGCTAGCTTAGATAGCAGAAAATAATGCTCTGTTGCCTCAGGAAAGAGATATGAAAACAGAGAAATGCCTATAGCGACTGATCATCATGCATTTTCAACAATCATCAAACACACTGGTTTGTGATGAAATGATTATGTGAGGTCCTCCAGTAATGTTTTCTATCCACCATAGGAGATTAATTAGGTGGCATACACCTGCCTTGTCTTAATGGCTATCTCCTGAGCTTTGTGCAAAGCTAGAAAAGTAGGATACTGCCCAATATATCCACAGACATCCCATCTCCATTCCTACGGTGGGAGCAGATTAATACTTGCATACGCCGTGTGTTTGATAATTTGAAGAGGAGGAGGAAAGGGGACAAGGAATGTAAGGATGATTATATCATAGAAATCAGCCGGCATTTCCCAGCAAGAAATTCCCGCCTTTGCCACAACATTGGTTAAACCATTTAGCTTCCAGCTGGACTGTGGGAACACTGGTCATGGTCTGCAGGCCCACCTGTGGGTGAGAAGGCTGAAGGAGAAGCCTACCAGGGTTTGGGATTTGCTTGTGGTGTGAACATACTCAGTTTCGGTGGGAGGACTCACCTGAGCTGGAAGGGGACTGGACATTTGTGGTGCCTGGGATGCAGTGCTGAGTTGCGGCTGTGGTGGAGGTAGGCTGCAGATCTGTGTAGAAAAACAGAGACACAACAGCTGCTTTCTCTTACCATGACATGAGGGCATGTTCTGCATGGCCCATCTGCCACTGAGTCTGAAACATCCTCTCTTTTTACACACACAAAGGGAAATGACTGACATTTCTACCTAGAAAACCAGGTAATGATGCAGAAGAAACAACCTCACGTCACAAGCACTGTCCACAGCTCTTAGGGAAAACAGACTTCAGGAAAAGTGGTTGTGGAGAGCAAGGCTCTGACAAGCCTTCCCTGACTTCAGAGAGTGCTGCCAGCTGACAGTCAGCAGGAGACAGAAACACATGGGAAGGTGGCGTGATCCCACTCTGCCAGGAGAGGCTTAGGCAGCATGCAGGGACTTCAACAGCTTCTGGCATTAGCAAGAGATTTTTCTCACAACAGGGCAGCCTGCCTCCCATCCTCACCCTCCTGCCCTCAGGCTGGGCTGTCCCTCTGAGCTTGGTCCAGGTGCGATGGAGTGGAGCCAGCTGTAGCCTTGGTGGCTGGCTACAGGCTGGCAAGCAAGTTTTGTTTGCACCCACTGGGCTACCCCACCTTGTAGACTCTCCATTCAGTTCTGTAGCAGGAACAGCATTAGCCTTAAAAAGAGAGCCATGGAAATAACACCCTTCTCAGCTCTCTCTTAAGATTTATAAGAATCAAGGACAACATGGCCATGGGCTTCTCCCCAACCGATAGATTTCTTGGTGATGGGGTGAAGGTTTCCAGCCAAGCTGGCTTGGCCTAAAGGGTTTAAAAGCAGGGGAAAAAAGAGACTTGGGGCTGTAAGCTCAAGCCTTTTCCTGCTGTGCTTTTTTCCTGTCTACAATAAAGCAGGGGTCACTGTACAAGCTGTTGCATTCTGCTTGCTCATATGGAGCAGTTGCATGAAGGCTTGCCCCATACAGCTGTGTAAGGAGCTAATTATGGTTCTGTAATTAGCCACGTGAAAGGACAGGCTAAGGAGAGAAACATGGCAACAGCAGGTGCAGAGAGGTCCCTGAGCCAGAGCCACCAAAACAGCTGGGCAAGCAAATAGCTAAGATGGGATCAGAGTAGGGATGAACTTTATGGGGGAAGAAATAAGAAAATTAATTGAGTCACAGTATACAAAATACATGCATCAGTTGGACTCCTAAATAGGAGAGCTAATTAGACACAGTCATTATATTACTGTGAGGGAAGGCCCAGAAATAGGTATTCAAGCATAGAGTTTTACCTGTCTTTTGCAGCTTTTCCTTTTTTTCTGCTTTACCAGATACACAAAACCAGACTGTATTTGTTTATACACACATCCTGACTGAGGTGTATATTTGTTTTTATTCTAGGAGAACATTTATAAACATGACAAGAGGAACTCTTGGGTTACTAAATTGAAAAGGAAATGCATTCTTAAATTTTTTCTTACGTCCTGAAAACAACTCACAAGCAAATATCCTGTCCTCCACAAAGGGAACTCATTAACCATCATAACAGCCTTGCATATGTTTGGAACAAGAGTCGTTGAAATAGCATAACCACTGCAAGCAACTGTCCTGTGAGGTCTGTCAAGAGGGCAGTGAAATTTCATAATGCAAGTA